AAACTGGACGTTACACGGTTATTAAAAGAGAAGAACGCATTTGTCAATTGTGCGCCCTGACTGACATTGAAGATGAATATCACTTCCTTTTTATATGCCCACTTTATGCAACATTAAGGGATATATACCTGAATATTACTAAGTCAATCCCAATTTCTTTAAATTCACATCTCTGTTAAACAACTCGAAGTACTGACTTTTACAAAATTTATCTATGTACATTTACCATGCAATGGGACACAGGAAAAATATTATGTTATAGTACTGCGCTGAACGTACACATTATAAATGTACTATAGGCCTGTGGCCTCCTCAGTATTGAAATAAAGAAATCGTAAGACTACGAACAAAGTAGACGAACCAAGAAACCCATTTTTCATGTTTTGCAACAATACCACCATCTCAAACACAACAGCATTGGCTTTGTTAAGATTTACGTCAAGACTCCATTTCGAACAATACCTCTAGATCTGTAACACAACTGTTTTTGCAAGCTATCTAAAGAATAAGAAAATATCACATCATCAGCAAAAAGGAATGAACATCATGGCCATTATTTCTTGTCTTACACATATCCCATGTTGGTAACTATTTTGCAACTCAATAGCATGTTCATTAAAATTTTATGAAGACACGATGATTTATATACACCTTGGCGACCGAACATTCATTCCCCTCCCGCATGGGACACGAATGACCAAGCGAACCGTGTTTCCGACAATTAAATGAATTGAATATTGAGACAGACAGAACAAGGAGATGTTAATGTTGATTTGATGAGTGCCCTTAAGCTAGTATTCACCAGACCAGAAGTAGAGGGTTGGCCTGTCTTAACTCGTCTTCTCCGTGGTTAAGTGGATAGAGCTTCTACTCGGAAGGTTTCCACCCATTAGTCACGGGTTGAACAAGCAAAGGATATGATTGATGGTTCCAATATACCTTATACCTTTTGTGTAAAGTGGAATGATCCAATATGAGTGAGTGAGTGAGTTGGGTTTAACGCCGCTGTTAACAGTATTCCAGTTATATCACGGCGTGTCAGCTTTATGTGGGAGGAAAGCCCGAAGTGATGCAGGTTTCAGACGTTTACCACTTCGGTGAAACCCACGAGCACGGGTATGGTGCTGACAAACCTAGAAACATAATCGGGGCGAACCGGGATTCGAACCCACAATCATAGGTTTCTGGCGGGCCCAAGGGACGCAACTCTGCACAGCGAATCGCGGCGCCTTAAACGACTGGGCCGCTCGTGCCCCCTGATCCAATATGACTATGACAAAACGCATTATAGCTAAAATGGATAGAATTATCATTAAACGTCCGCATGTTATCAGAAATCGGCGGGCCACTGTAACTTGATAATGCCCTTATATTGCTTAACTACGGGCCATTATCACGCCCGTTGTTAGGTGACGTCATAGGGTAGGGGTAGTGACGTCATCTGGTTTGTTCTATGACGTTTCCAGATTTTTAAAAGTGGGTCAGTGACATTCGTGTTGATTGCAGTAAATGTTTCTAAACCGATACTGTTATTTCTTTTTATTTGACAACAAATTCCATCCCTTTTAGCTATATGGACGGTAACGCTTTTCTAAGGGCATTATCATTTGCAGAAGCCCTCGGTCTTTTCAACTGCCCTCCTTCGTCGGGCAGTAAATGGAAGACCTCGGGCTTCTGCAAATGATAATGCCCTAGGAAATAGCGTTACCCTCATATAATCATGCCTCTTTGTCAGAATGATGAGATCTGATTGGTCCACGTCATCTTGATGAAATACTGTGTAACCCACCTTGAATGGTAATAAATTTCTCAGCGGGAGAATAAATCTGTTATACCCCGCCACGAGCACTACAGGCTGAACGTGTATTTCTGAGAGACAGAATAAATCCTTTATACCCCGCTTCAAAGCAAAAAGCCGCACGCTTTTTCCGAGCCATTGGGTGTCACTTGACTTAGCGAAAGCTAACCTCAGCTTAATCGAGCAGCTGTTTTCTATCAATTTGGAATTTATTTGACTTATTTTACAATGTCATATTAAAGCATGTCTGTAAGATATATTCGTTGTAGCAGGATCACTCGGGGTACATGTGGTTTTATACGACCCGCTCATGGTATAAAACCTAACGCGAGACTCATAAAACCACATGTACCCTTCGTGATCCTGCTGCAGCGTATAACGTAGGATATTGTCATCATCGACCCTTGAAGATCCGGGTTACAATTGATATCCAGTAAACCCATCTTTGGCGTAAAGGCGACTATGCTTGTCGTAAGAGGCGACTACCGGGATCGGGTGGTCAGGCTCGCTGACTTGGTCGATGTATGTCATCGTATCCCAATTGCGTGGATCGATGCTCATGATGTCAATGACTGGACTGTCTAGTCCAGACTCGTTTATTTACAGACCGCCGTCATGTAGCTGGAATATTGCTGAGTGCGGCGTTATACAACAAACATTATTATCATCAATTGACGTAACGTTTTGTGGATATACTTCTATGGCATCATGACGTTGTAACGTCCACAACAAAAGATTTCACTATTACGAAATGTGAGGCTTTGAGTCTGTCAATCACATCTCGTAGTTCAGCGCCGTTGATTATAAAGATGACGACACGGGAAAACCCGAGTTGATCCGACTGTCAAGAGCTGGTAAGCATTGGAATTAAATGAGTTTACGGATTGTTGGTTGGTTGGTTCCCTGGTTTCCGGGGCGGCCGGGTAGCCTTGTGGTTAAAACGTTCGCTCATCACGCCAAAGACCCGGGTTCGATTCCCGTACATTGTGTGAGGCCCATGTCTGGTGTCCCCCGCCGTGATATTGCTGGAATATTGCTAAAAGCGGCGCAAAACCATACTCAATCACTCACTCTCTGGTTTCCATCTTGCGACATATGTAGTGAGTGAGTATGGTTTTACGCCGCTTTTAGCAATATTCCAGCAATATCACGGCGGGGGACACCAGAAATGGGCTTCACACATTGTACCCATGTCGGGAATCGAACCCGGGTCTTCGGCGTGACGAGCGAACCCTTTAACCACTAGGCTACCCGACCGCCCCCTACGATATATGTAACTCTAGGTGACATATTTACGATGCATGTTGACTAAATTTATGCTTTGGATATACTTGTTTATGATAGAGAAATCACAATGTTCGGTATTTCATGTTGGCTTACGACTGATTGCTTTTCTTTGCCTCCATGGATATTTTCGTGACAGCAAGGATGTGTCACACCCGTTAATGTTATTGCGTAAATAAATCAGCGAAGCTTGCAACATGTTTGTTTGTTTGTGTGTTGCTTAACGCCGCAATCAGCAATATTCAAGCCATATGACGGCGGTCTGTAAATAATCGAGTCTGGGCCAGACTATCCAGTAATTGACATCATGAGCATCGATCCACGAAATTGGGTTCGATGACATGCATCAACCAAGTCAGCGAGCCTGACCAACCGATCCCGTTAGTCGCCTCTTACGACAAGCATTGGTCGCTTTTGAAGGGAGGCAAGAAGGGGTTGCTGAAGACTTATTGTCGGTTTTGGTGACCTTGACCTCATTTTCAAGGTCAGAGGAGGCAAATCTGCTTTTGGAGTTGGAAAACGGTGTTGCCGCGATATCTCATGAACTAAACACTGGATTGTTTTCATATTTGGAACTATGGTGTATATACAGACTCCGCAGACACCATTTGGTTTTGGTGACCTTGACCCCATTTTCAAGGTCACAGGAGGCAAATCTGCTTTGGAGTTGGAAAACGGTGTTGCCGCAATATCTCAAGAACTAATCGCTGGATTGTCTTCATATTTGGAACTATAGTGTAAATAAAGACACCGCAGACACCAGTCGGTTTTGGTGACCTTGACCCCATTTTCAAGGTCACAGCAGGCAAATCTGTTTTTGGAGTTGGAAAACGGTGTTGCCGCAATATCTCAAGAACTAATCGCTGGATTGTCTTTATATTTGGTACTATGGTGTATATACGGGCGGGGGACATTTCGTCACTTTGTGACAAATACTTGTTCTACCCCGGATCATCCCGGGTGGAAGCTTGTAACAACGTACTAATATCATGGAGTGTTTTTCATGTTCAATATGCACGACAGCCTGACAAGTCTCTGAATTTGGTTAACTCCGTTTTGTGAATTAAGCAGACTTTGAATTTATTACCCTATTCTGAGTTCGGTCGTAGATTGCCTTGTTCGGTTTCACCCTTCTCTATCTGAAATTGACATTTTGAGAACATTTGGCATTTATCGTGGTAATATAACTTAGACATTCGCGGTACATTGATAGCTGGGCTTGACAAAAACGATAAACAATATATATTGACTTGTACCATACGTCCCCATGTTTTTCAAGTGCATAATTGATTTGCCTTTGAATGTGTTTGTGATGAGTGCAACAGGTGGGGCAGGATACGCTCATCTTTTGACATTAACACATGCCTATGTTATCGCTGGAATCGAACAATCGACTCTGCTTTTAGCAGAGGTTTCTTATGAATGTGGAAAGGGTTTGTCTATTTTATTTCTGTATCATTATATACTTTGCTGTCCATTGGCAGTTGGGATTTGTATCTGAAATTTACACTTCGCGATACATTGACAAATGGTTCGTTGTTGGCTGTTGTTGGCTTGTTGTTTAACGCCGCAATCAGCAATATTCCAGCTATATGACGGCGGTCTGTCAATAATCGAGTCTTGGCCAGACAATCAAGTGATTAATATCATGAGCATCGATCAACGCAATTGGGATCGATGACATGCGTCAACCAAGTCAGTGAGCCTGACACTCCGATCCCGTTAGTCCCCTTTTACGACAAGCATAGTCACCTTTTACAGCAAGCATGGGTTGCTGAAGACCTGTTCTACCCCGGAATCTTCACGGGTAACAAATGGTACGTGTTTACATTTCTACCTGACTGTTTTCATATTATGGTACAATGTCATTTATTAATTATTTTTTATCTGAAATTGACACCCTCCGATATATTGACAGTTGACGGCGGCTGGAGTCAGTGGTACGTCCGATGGACGGGGAGATGTTCTACAACGTGTGGGGGTGGGGTGAAGCGTCAGTACAGCTACCGCTGGTGCAACAACCCCCGACGCTCATACGGTGGCGCCTACTGTTCAGGATCCCCGTCCAAGACGGAGGAAGTTCCGTGCAATCAACAGGGCTGTCCAGGTAAGAAAACCAAGATAAGGGTTCCTGGAACGATTTGGTTTGGTTTGTTGTTTAACGCCGCACTCAGCAATATTCCAGCTATATGACGGCGGTCTGTAAAAAAATCGAGTCTGAACCAGACAATCCAGTGATTCTCATCATGAGCATCGATCCACGCAATTGGAATTGATGACATGCATCAACCAAGTCAGCGAGCCTGACCACCCGATCCCGTTAGTCGCCCTTTACGACAAGCATAGTCGCCTTTTACGGCAACTTGGGTTGCTGAAGACCTATTCTAACGAAGGGTTGCCTTGGTAACAAACAAAACATAATATGGAACACATGTCACTGACATGTGATTTGTTTGTTTGTTGTTTAACGCCGCCCCAGCATTATTCAAGCTATATGACGTCGAGTCTAGACCAGACAATCCAGTCATTGATGTCAATCACTGGATTGTCTAGTCCAGATTCGATTATTTACAGACCGCCGTCATATAGCTAAATGCGGCGTTAAACAACAAACAAACAAGTATAACACGGCTGTCTGTAAATACTAGATTCTGGACTAATTAATCGTGATAGTTAGGAACTCATGTTTCATAAAATTACATTGGATAAAAACCACGGGGACACGGGTGGCCCAGTCGTCTAAGGCGCCGCAATCTGTTGTGCAGAGTTGCGTCCCTTGAGCACGACGGGAAGCTGTGATCGTGGTACCGGTGTTGAAATCTTGGTTCTTGTTTCCAGTTTTGTCAGCACCAAACTGATTGGTTCCACAAAAGCTGTAAACATCTAAGACCTGCATCACTTCGTTCCTCCCGCATTAAGCTCACACGCCGTGATATAACTGGAATACTGTTCACACCGTGTTAAACCCAATCCATTCACTCACACACCTGACCCGTGAAGATTCTGGGGTAGAATAGGTCTTCAGCAACCCATGCTTGCCGTAAAAGTCGACTATGCTTGTCGTAAAAGGCGACTAACGGGATTGGGTGGTCAGGCTCGCTGACTTGGTTGATGCATGTCATCGATCCCAATTGCGTGGATCGATGTTCATGATGTCGATCACTGGATTGTCTGGTCCAGACTCGATTATTTACAGACCGCCGTCATATAGCTGGAATATTGCTGAGTTCGGCGTTTAACAACAAACAAACAAACAAACTCACACACTTATTAACTAAACATGTTTCCATTTCTGTATGATATAGTAAGCGGAGCTTGGACCGCCTGGCTCGAGACGTCATATGGCACGTGCAGCGTCAGCTGTGGAGGAGGTCAGCGTGAGGAGATTTCAGAGCGAGGCTGCAAAGACCCCGCCCCTGCATACGGAGGTTCAAACTGCGTGGGGTCAACGGTCAAATACGAAACTAAAACGTGCAACACACATGATTGTTCCGGTCAGTAGTTCCGTATATATTCAAAATCGTGTCCTGTATTATGTTTTCGGACACAAGACATTGTGATTTTTTTTTTTTACAAGGTGACATATTCATAGTGAAATTCAGAAACGTCAGTTATCGGATGAAAACTCTTGTAACCTTATTTGACAGCGCTTTTGTTTCCTATTTCTGCTTCTCTCGGTCATTTATTACGACAAATCGTGTGACCATTGTCGAGACATTAAGTAACTTGTACAGACCTTTTGGCGGATATCCCAGGTGTATTTGACATTTATCAACATGAGATCAAATTCACATATTTCCCGGAGTATTATCGAGTTGAGTGCGTAGTCAGTGCGATGTGACGTCACGCGAATGGAACACATGATGTCATTGTACTAAAGGGTCATCAGCGTGAGTACACAACATTGCGACCCCAGAAGATCCGGGGTAGAATAGGTCTTCAGCAACCCATGCTTGCCGTAAAAGGCGACTATGCTTGTCGTAAGAGGCGACTAACGGGATTGGGTGGTCAGGCTCGTTGACTTGATTGATGCATGTCATCGTTTACCAATTGCGTGGATCGATGCTCATGATATCAGTCACTGGATTGTCTGGTCCAGACTTGACCATTTACAGATAGTCGTCACCGGTGTCACCGACGGGAGGGTGTGTGTGGGAGATTGGGCGGGGGCATTACTCGAGACACAGTCGAGGGGCTACGGAATTCGCGACCTTGTGTAGAGTTGCGTTCCATGGTTGGTTTGAATCCAGGGTTTACCCTGCTTGTGAATCTTGAATCCAACAAAGTGTTAAACCTGCATCACTTTAAGCTTTCCTCTCGCATTAAACTCCAAAGCCTAGATATAGCTGACATACTGCACACAACATAGCCCACTAACTTATTTCATTTCAGCGCCTATGGGTTCGCCCCGATTATGTTTCTAGGTATGTCAGCATCATACCCGTGCTCGTGGGTTTCACCGAAGTGGTAAACGTTCACAGAGACATTAAACCAAAGTCACAACTCTAAAAGGGGGCACGGGTGGCCCAGTCGTCTAAGGCGCCGCGATTCGCTGTGCAGAGTTGCGTCCCTTGGGCACGCCAGAAACCTATGATTGTGGGTTCGAATCCCGGTTCGACCCGATTATGTTTCTAGGTTTGTCAGCACCATACCCGTGCTCGTGGTTTTCACCGAAGTGGTAAACGTCTGAGACCTGCATCACTTCGGGCTTTCCTCCCACATTAAGCTGACACGCCGTGATGTAACTGGAATACTGTTAAAAGCGGCGTTAAACCCAACTCACTCACTCACTCACTCACTCATTTCAGCGCCTATCAATGGTGGCTGGGCATCGTGGGAGTCTGACTCTGTACTGACGTGTTCGGTGACCTGCGGGGCCGGGACAACAAACAGAGTCCGGTCGAGAACCTGTTCCAACCCAGCGCCTGCTAATGGCGGGAGCAAGTGCCCCGGATCCGATAAAGACACCGATCCGGAAAACTGCAACGAAGGGGCGTGTCCAGGTATTGTGGTTTTCACGGCGGGAAGTCTAGAACATAATGTACATTAAACTACGGTTATAGGGGCCACTCATTTTAGTTCGACATAACCGTTGTTCGTTATAAGCATACATACAGGATATACACAGCAAATGAGGGACCAAAAAAAATACGTTATATCCGTCAGTTCGCTATAAGCGTGTTTGTTATAAACGTAGGTTACTGTAGTTTGTTTGTTTGTTTGTTGTTTAACGCCGCACTCAGCCATATTCCAGCTATGTGACGGCGGTCTGTAAAATAATCGAGTCTGGACCAGGCAATCCAGTGATTGAGCATGTAATTAGGATCGATGACCTGCATCAACCAAGTCAGCGAGCCTGACCACCCGATCCCGTTAGTCGCCTTTTAAGACAAGCATAGTCGCCTTTTACGGCAAGTATGGGTTGCTGAAGACCTATTCCACCCCGGAATCTTCACGGGTCAGTTTACTGTAGTACCAATACTTCTTTTAGTGTGTGTATGTCTGTTGGGGGTGGGGTTCGGTGGTCGTAATTGTGGATAAATCGTTCGCTCGTCACGCCGAAGGCCCGGGTTTGATTCCCGACATGGGTACAATGTGTGAACCCCATTTCTGGTGTCCCCCGCCATGCTGGAATACTGCTAAAACGGCGTAAAACCATACTCACTCACTCACCATTATATTGGGATTCCCCGAGTTGTATGGTCTCCGGTATGTCATGCTTGCCTTATAAAATGGATTTTGGTTCAACGCACATCGTTATAACATCAAATTATGGGGATTCCCCGGTGGTAGTAAATCCTGCTTGACAATTAGAGGGCCGACAGGGACAGGATTGATCCCCAGTAAATCCTGCTTGACAATTAGAGGGCCGACAGGGACAGGATTGATCCCCAGTAAATCCTGCTTGACAATTAGAGGGCCGACAGGGACAGGATTGATCCCCAGTAAATCCTGCTTGACAATTAGAGGGCCGACAGGGACAGGATTGATCCCCAGTAAATCCTGCTTGACAATTAGAGGGCCGACAGGGACAGGATTGATCCCCAATAAATCCTGCTTGACAATTAGAGGGCCGACAGGGACAGGATTGATCCCCAGTAAATCCTGCTTGACAATTAGAGGGCCGACAGGGACAGGATTGATCCCCAGTAAATCCTGCTTGACAATTAGAGGGCCGACAGGGACAGGATTGATCCCCAGTAAATCCTGCTGGATAACTAATTGATAGTCCGGTACAGGACTGTCCTGAATTGCGTTTGTTTGTTTGTGGTTTAAGGCCACACTCAGCAATATTCAACTTATATGACGGCGGTCTGTAAATAATACAGTATGGACTGGACAATCTAGTGATTGACGTCATGATCATCTATCTACGCAATTGCGATACACGCATCAACAAAGAGCCTGACCACCCCGTCCTGTTAGTCGCTACGACAACGTGGGTTGTTGAAGACATACTCTAACTAGGATCTGCTTGGGGAGTGTTCTGAGTAGATCAAGTTTGATAACGTATGGATGGTATGGGAACAGTGTTCTCCAGTGTACCTGAGTTGAAGGGAGTTGGGGGGGGGTGGGGGGTGGGGGTGGGGTGGGGGGGTGGCGTCAAACCCAACTCACTCACTCACTGTTTCTCTGTCGCACTCAGCAATATTTCAGCTATATGACGGCGGTATGTAGATAATCGAGTCTGGACCACACAATCCGGTGATTGACATCATGAGCATCGATCCATCTATTTGGGATACGATGACATGTATCGACCAAGTCAGCGAGCCTTGACCACCTGATCCCGTTAGTCGCCTCTTACTGCAGGCATAGTCACCTTTTACGGCAAGCATGGGTTGCTGAAGACCTATTCTACCCCGGATCTGTGAACTGAGATTGTTATTGGCTGTACCCTTGACGGGGGTTAAAGTACTGTAAAATTATTGTCCCCCTGAGAGGGTAGAGTAGGTCCATATCATTCAAATTACGTTATTCCTATCATAGTTTTAATCATGGAATCTGTGTTCTTTTAAATTTTGGCTAAATTTCCTAATCGTCGCCAGCAGCCCAAGGGCAGCTGTAAATCCGGCTGGGGTCCATGCAGGTAGCAAAGGTCTTATAAGTCCCCATGGACCCTAGTATGGTGATCTACATTAAGCTGCTGGCGATATTTAGCCCCATTTATATTGTATTGTAACATATAGTGATTTTTTTATGGTTATATGCTAGTTTTAACTATTAATCTATGATATTCTAGTAATTTTGCTGTCCATCGATTACAGGTTTTTATTTAGCTTAAAGATATGTCTTCATATGTATAACTTCTCGTCACGATATGGCTGAAAAATTGCCGATGTGATGTGATGTGTCACTCACTCACCGGATCATCACGGTTCCACTCACGCATTGACTGGTTCGATGCCCTACACTGACTGGATTTACGTCCTACGTTGTTAGCCTCCGATAATTATGGGTTCAAATCCCATGGTACATGGTTTGCCAGCACCTTACCCGTCCTTGTGGGTTTCACTTAAACCGGCTCGTTCACAGAGACATTAAACCAAAGTCACAACTCTAAAAGGGGGCACGGGTGGCCCAGTCGTCTAAGGCGCCGCGATTCGCTGTGCAGAGTTGCGTCCCTTGGGCACGCCAGAAACCTATGATTGTGGGTTCGAATCCCGGTTCGACCCGATTATGTTTCTAGGTTTGTCAGCACCATACCCGTGCTCGTGGTTTTCACCGAAGTGGTAAACGTCTGAGACCTGCATCACTTCGGGCTTTCCTCCCACATTAAGCTGACACGCCGTGATATAACTGGAATACTGTTAAAAGCGGCGTTAAACCCAACTCACTCACTCACTCACAACTCTACAGAGGATGCGGATTCTTCTTACTACAGCAATGTATATGCTGTTAATAATATAGTAAACTACGTTTATAACGAACACGCATGTAACGAACTGACGGATATAACGAACTTACTTTTTAGTCCCGACCATTTGTTGTATGTATGCTGTATATATGCTTATAACGAACTACGGTTATTACGAACTAAAATTAGTGGTCCCCTCGATTTCGTTATAACCGTAGTCTACTGTACTTTCTGTTTCAGTTGATGGAAACTGGGGCAACTGGGGTAGCCCTAGCAACGGTGACTGCTCTGTGACGTGTGGCGGAGGCAAGAGGACGTCAACACGGACGAGAACGTGCAGCAACCCCGCCCCTAGCGTAGGGGGAGCTCTGTGCGGTGGCTCCCCCAAAGAGGTACAGGATCTGTCTTGCAATACTCAAACCTGTCCAGGTATGTAATCTCATAAGGTCTCATAAGGTCCAAATATCCTATTTTTTGTTTTGTGCAAGATATCGTATTCCAATATTTAAAAAAAAAATTAAAAGTATACTTCTTGTCGGTACAATTAAAAGTCAGAAGCACAGATACGAATCCCGACCAATGACCCCCTTTGGTTCACATGCGTAACACTGGGAAGAGTTGTGTCCCTTAGGTGTGCCAGAAACCTGTGATCGTGGGTTCGAATCCAAGATCCGCATTGATTTTATTTCTCGTTTTCTCAGCACTATAACGTCCTCGTGTGTTTCACCAAGGTGTAAACAAAGATCACTTTCGTCCCACATCAAGCTGACATGCCTTGATACAACTGCTATACTGTTCAAAGCGGTGTTAAAGATAGTCATCGAGTCATACGTAAAGGCTGGATGACCCTAAAGTACACGTGGCCTGTATATGTCATTCACATGCCAGAAACATCAACACGCAGTGTTAACAAAACCTCACTCATTCCCAAAGTTGACAGACGTCCGATGGATGTTCTCCCACATTAGGAACCACGTGTGGCCCATTCGTCTGAGACGCAGCAATTCGCTATGCAGAGTTGCGTCCCTTAGTCTCGCCAGAAACCTATGATCGTGGCTTCGAATCCCGGTTCGCCCCGATTATGTGTCGAGGTTTGTTAACACCATACTTTGCTCGTGGGTTTCACTGAACTGGAAAGGGGCGGTCGGGCAGCCTTGTGGTTAAAGCGTTCGCTCGTCACGCCGAAGACCCGGGTTCGATTCCCGACATGGGTACAATATGTGAAGCCCATTCCTGGTGTCCCCCGCCGTGATGTTGCTGAAATATTGCTAAAAGCGGCGTAAAACCAAAAGTGGAAAACGTCTGAGATTTGCACCACTTCATGATTACCTCCTACACTAAGCTGAACATGAGTCGCTGTGATGTAACTGGAAAACTGTTCAAAGCGACATTAAACAAAACTCACTCACTCACTCTTCAGTGGACGGGAACTGGGGCACGTGGACGACGACATCGACCGACCCCTGCACCGTGTCATGTGGAGGTGGTACTAAAACACGCCGCTCAATCAGACAATGTAATAACCCCTCACCCGTCGGGACGGGGGCCACCTGCCCTGGGGTCAGCTACCAAACGGAAGATGTGGCGTGTAATCCTGATAACTGCCCAGGTACAGTTCTACCATTTATCATCAGCATTTCATTTTTTTATGACTTGTGGCAAATAATAGAACATGTTAAAATAATGGATCTTTTTACTGAACAAGAAAGGGGGCACGGGTGGCCCAGTCGTCTAAGGCGCCGCGATTCGCTGTGCAGAGTTGCCAGAGACCTATGATTGTCCGCTCGAATCCCGGTTCATCCCGATTATGTTTCTAGGTTTGTCAGCGCCATACCCGTGCTCGTGGGTTTCACCGAAGTGGTAAACGTCTGAGACCTGCATCACTTCGGGCTTTCCTCCAAAATCAAGCTGACACGCCGTGACATAACTGGAATACTGTTAAAAGCGGCGTTAAACCAAACTCACCCACTCACTCTAAACAAGAAGCATTTCCTTTTAGCGGACTTAATTAATTATTTAGTTTCATGGTATTTGAGTTTATCATGTGAAAGACTGAAAACACCGATTTTTTTAATTATTCGCCTTTATTTGTTCTAAGGCGTTAGTGTTGAATCCGCTGGTCATAGGTCCGAGTCTAGATTTAACCCGATCACGAGCCTGTATTTGTTTGTTTGTTTGTTGTTTAACGCCGCACTAAAAATATTCCACCTACTAGACGGCGGTTTGTAAATAATCGAGGCTGGACCAGATAATACAGTGGTTGACATCATAAGCATCGATCCATGCAATTTGGATACGATGACATGCATCAACCAAGTCAGCGAGTCTGACCACCTGATCCCGTTAGTCGCCTCTTCCGACAAACATAGACACCTTTTACAGCAAGCATGAGTTGCTGAAAACCTATTCTACCCCGGATCTTCACGGGTCTGTCCTAGACAGCTGTCATCCAAAGTTTGGCTGCCCTACATGAAAAGTGTGAAGTCGCTCCCCGTGACAAGGCCTCATGTAACATAACGATCAATGGTAAGCATCACTACATTAATTGTTTGATCAAGGAGCTTGGTATAAGTGACCTAAAAAAATGTCACATAAGCGGGCAGTTTATTTACTAAGGAAGACATCTGTCAATACCATGCACCAGAACTTTTGACACCTGAAGACATGTCCATTCAGACCCGTGAAGATCCAACAAACAAACAAAACATTTACCACTTGTGTTTTTTCAGATGAATCATATGCCAATAAATGGCCAATAGAGAAGAGGTACCTGTCGAATGTCTTTCAGAGTGGGTTAAGTCAGTGCGCGATGTCATTGGTGGTATGCACAAGCTTAAAAATAGGAAACAGAATTGGAATGAATCCAGTCTGTCCCTGCCAGCTGTCATCTTAGCTATTGATGCCCTACATGAAAAGTGTATTGTTTTTCCCACCGACAAGGCCTCAAATAACATAACCATCTAGCACATTATATGTAAAGCCTCGCATCATTAATTGTTTGATCAAGGAACTTGGTATAAGTGCCTAAAAATAATGTCACATAAGAGGCCAATGTCAGATAACAAACAAACAAACAAACAAACAAACAAACACATGCATACGCCCACTTATGTGGATCAGATGTCAGACTCTGTGACCCCAGTTATTCTGACTTGATAAATTAATGTTCGCTGTGGAACAGCAGCGGCGTTAAAGAACATTCACTCACTCTCATTTGTAGGAGTGAGTGAGTGAGTGAGTGAGGTTTTACGCCGCTTTTAGCAATATTCCAGCAATATCACGGCGGGGGACACCAGAAATGGGCTTCACACATTGTACCCATGTCGGGAATCGAACCCGGGTCTTCGGCGTGACGAGCTAACGCTTTAACCACTAGGCTACCCGACCGCCCTCATTTGTAGGAACAATTTGCGATCACAACTCTCTGAGGATCATACAAGGATTGCCGTCAAAGGCGACTATGCTTGTCGTAAAAGGCGACCAGCGGGATCGAGTGGTCAGGCTCGCTGACTTGGTTGATGCATATCATCGATCCCAATTGCGTGGATCGATGCTCATGATATGAATCACTGAATTCCCGGTCCAGACTCGATTATTTACAGAGCGCCGTCATATAGCTGTTATATTGCTGAGTGCGGCGTTAAACAACAAACCAACCAACCAACTACAAGGATTTGTAAATTGTGACGTGTTTTTTTCTGCAGTGGACGGAGAATGGTCCGCTTGGACGGTGTCTAACCAAGAATCCTGTTCCAAAAGCTGCGGCTCTTCAGGAGTACGCACAACCATATATAAGAGGACATGTAGCGACCCTGCGCCTGCTTATGGCGGGATTGACTGTACAACCATCCTTCCGGGAACCACTAAATTCAATGTGTCTTTTTGCAACCGAGTCGCATGCACAGGTGAGTATACCACAGTAACCCAGTGAGTATACCACAGTAACCCAGTGAGTATAACACAGTTACCTTATAAGTATACCTCAGTAACCCATTGAATATACCAAAGTAACCCATTGAGTATACCACAGTTACCCATTGAGTATACCACAGTTACCCATTGAGTATACCACCGTTACCCATTGAGTATACCACAGTAACCCATTGAGTATACCACAGTAACCCAGTGAGTATACCACAGCTACCCATTGAGTATACCACGGTTACCCAGTGAGTATACCACAGCTGCCCAGTGAGTATACCACACCTACCCATTGAGTATACCACAGCTACCCATTGAGTATACCACAGTTACCCATTGAGTATACCACAGCTACCCAGTGAGTATACCACAGTAACCCAGTGAGTATACCACATTAACCCATGAAGTATACCACAGTAACCCACTGAGTATACCACAGTAACCCAGTGAGTATACCACAGCTACCCATTGAGTATACCACAGTAACCCATTGAGTATACAACAGTAACCCATTGACTATACCACAGTTACCCATTGGGTATACCACAGCTACCCATTGAGTATACCACAGTAACCCAATAAGAATACCACAGTTACCCAGTGAGTATACCACAGTAACCGATTGATTATACCACAGTAACCCATTGAGTATACCACAGCTACCCAGTGAGTATACCACAGTAACCTTGCGAGCATGCAAAAGTAACCTTGTGAGAATACCACAGTAACCTTGCGAGCATGCAAAAGTAACCTTGTGAGAATACCACAATAACCTAGTAAGTACACCACAGTAACGCAGTGAATAATCCACAGTAACCCAGTTAGTATACCACAGTAATCCTGTATGTATAACACGTTATCCCAGTAAGTACACCACAGTAACCCAGTCAGTATACCACAGTAATCCTGTATGTATAACACGTTATCTCAGTAAGTACACCACAGTAACCCAGTCAGTATACCACAGTAATCCTGTAAGTATTACACGTTATCCCAGTAAGTAAACCCCAGTAACCCAGTTAGTATACCACAGTAATGCAGTCAGTTTACCACAGTAATCCTGTATGTATAACACGTTATCCCAGTTAGTAAACCACAGTAACCCAGTTAGTATACCTCAGTAACCCAGTCAGTATACCACAGTAATCCTGTATGTATAACACGTTATCCCAGTAAGTAAACCACACTAACCCAGTTAGTATACCACATTAATCCTGTATGTTTAACACGTTATCCCAGTAAGTAAACCACAGTAAACCAGTCAGTATACCACAGTAACCCAGTCAGTATACCACAGTAATCCTGTATGTATAACACGTTATCCCAGTAAGTAAACCACAGTAACCCAGTCAGTATACTACATTAATCCTGTTTGTATAACACGTTATCCCAGTAAGTAAACCACAGTACCCAGTCAGTATACCACAGTAACCCAGTTAGTATACCTCAGTAACCCAGTCAGTATACCACAGTAATCCTGTATGTATAACACGTTATCCCAGTAAGTAAACCACACTAGCCCAGTTAGTATACCACAGAAACTCAGTTGGTATACCACAGTAATCCTGTATGTATAACACGTTATCCCAGTAAGTAAACCACAGTAACCCAGTCAGTATACTACAGTAATCCTGTTTGTATAACACGTTATCCCAGTAAGTAAACCACAGTACCCAGTCAGTATACCACAGTAACCCAGTTAGTATACCTCAGTAACCCAGTCAGTATACTACAGTAATCCTGTATGTATAACACGTTATCCCAGTAAGTAAACCACACTAACCCAGTTAGTATACCACAGTAATCCTGTATGTATAACACGTTATCCCAGTAAGTAAACCTCAGTAACCCAGTCAGTATACCACAGTAATCCTGTATGTATAACACGTTATCCGAGTAAGTACACCACAGTAACCCAGTCAGTATACCACAGTAATCCTGTATGTATAACACGTTACCCCAGTAATTAAACCACAGTAACCCAGTCAGTATACCACAGTTATCCTGTATGTATAACACGTTATCCCAGTGAGTATACCACAATAACCCAGTCAGTATACCACAGTCATCCTGTATGTATAACACGTTATCCCAGTTAGTAAACCACAGTAACCCAGCTAGTATACCACAGTAACCCAGTCAGTATTCCGCAGTAATCCTGTATGTATAACACGTTATCCCAGTTAGTATACCACAGTAACCCAGTCAGTATACCACAGTAATCCTGTATGTATAACACGTTATCCCAGTAAGTAAACCACAGTTACCCAGTAAGTATACCACAGTAACCCAGTCAGAATACCACAGTTATCATGTCTGTATAACACGTTATCCCATTAAGTAAACCTCAGTAACCCAGTTAGTATACCACAGTAATCCTGTATGAAAAACACGTTATCCCAGTTAGTATACGACAGTAACCCAGTCAGTATACCACAGTAATCCTGTATGTATAACACGTTATCCCAGTAAGTAAACCACAGTAACCCAGTGAGTATGCCACAGTAACCCAGTCAGTATACCACAGTAATCCTGTATGTATAACACGTTATCCAAGTAAGTAAACCACAGTAACCCAGTTAGTATACCACAGAAACTCAGTTGGTATACCACAGTTATCCTGTATGTATAACACGTTATCCCAGTAAGGAAATCACAGTAACCCAGTCAGTATACCACAGTAATCCTGTATGTATAACACGTTATCCCAGTAAGTACACCACAGTAACCCAGTCAGTATACCACAGTGATCATTTATGTATAACACGTTATCCAAGTAAGTAAACCACAGTAACCCAGTCAGTATACCACAGTAACCCAGTCAGTATACCACAGTAAACCTGTATGTATAACACGTTATCCCAATAAGTAAACCACAGTAACCCAGTTAGTATACCACAGTAACCCAGTCAGTATTCCACAGTAATCCTGTATGTATAACACGTTATCCCAGTAAGTAAAGCACAGTAACCCAGTCAGTATACCACAGTGATTATTTATGTATAACACGTTATCCAAGTAAGTAAACCACAGTAACCCAGTCAGTATACCACAGTAACCCAGTCAGTATACCACAGTAAACCTGTATGTATAACACGTTATCCCAATAAGTAAACCACAGTAACCGAGTTAGTATACCACAGTAACCCAGTCAGTATTCCACAGTAATCCTGTATGTATAACACGTTATCCCAGTAAGTAAACCACAGTAACCCAGTCTGTATACCACAGTAACCCAGTTAGTATACCTCAGTAACCCTGTATGTATAACACGTTATCCCAGTAAGTAAACCACAGTAACCCAGTCAGTATACCACAGTTATCCTGTATGTATAACACGTTTTCCCAGTAAGTAAACCACAGTAACCCAGTCAGTATACCACAGTTATCCTGTATGTATAACACGTTATCCCAGTAAGTAAACCACAGTAACCCAGTCAGTATACCACACTAATCCTGTATGTATAACACGTTATCCCAGTAAGTACACCACAGTAACCCAGTCAGTATACCACAGTAATCCTGTATGTATAACACGTTACCCCAGTAATTAAACCACAGTAACCCAGTCAGTATACCACAGTTATCCTGTATGTATAACACGTTATCCCAGTGAGTATACCACAATAACCCAGTCAGTATACCACAGTCATCCTGTATGTATAACACGTTATCCCAGTAAGTACACCACAGTAACCCAGTTAGTATACCACAGTAACCCAGTCAGTATTCCGCAGTAATCCTGTATGTATAACACGTTATCCCAGTTAGTATACCACAGTAACCCAGTCAGTATACCACAGTAATCCTGTATGTATAACACGTTATCCCAGTAAGTAAACCACAGTTACCCAGTCAGTATACCACAGTAACCCAGTCAGAATACCACAGTTATCATGTCTGTATAACACGTTATCCCATTAAGTAAACCTCAGTAACCCAGTTAGTATACCACAGTAATCCTGTATGAAAAACACGTTATCCCAGTTAGTATACCACAGTAACCCAGTCAGTATACCACAGTAATCCTGTATGTATAACACGTTATCCCAGTAAGTAAACCACAGTAACCCAGTTAGTATGCCACAGTAACCCAGTCAGTATACCACAGTAATCCTGTATGTATAACACGTTATCCAAGTAAGTAAACCACAGTAACCCAGTTAGTATACCACAGAAACTCAGTTGGTATACCACAGTTATCCTGTATGTATAACACGTTATCCCAGTAAGGAAACCACAGTAACCCAGTCAGTATACCACAGTAATCCTGTATGTATAACACGTTATCCCAGTAAGTACACCACAGTAACGCAGTCAGTATACCACAGTGATCATTAATGTATAACACGTTATCCAAGTAAGTAAACCACAGTAACCCAGTCAGTATACCACAGTAACCCAGTCAGTATACCACAGTAAACCTGTATGTATAACACGTTATCCCAGTAAGTAAACCACAGTAACCCAGTTAGTATACCACAGTAACCCAGTCAGTATTCCACAGTAATCCTGTATGTATAACACGTTATCCAAGTTAGTATACCACAGTAACCCAGTCAGTATACCACAGTAATCCTGTATGTATAACACGTTATCCCAGTAAGTAAACCACAGTAACCTAGTAAGTATACCACAGTAACCCAGTCAGAATACCACAGTTATCAAGTCTGTATAACACGTTATCCCAGTAAGTAAACCACAGTAACCCAGTTAGTATACCACAGTAATCCTGTATGTATAACACGTTATCCCAGTTAGTATACCACAGTAACCCAGGCAGTATACCACAGTAATCCTGTATGTATAACACGTTATCCCAGTAAGTAAACCGCAGTAACCAAGTTAGTATGCCACAGTAACCCAGTCAGTATACCACAGTAATCCTGTATGTATAACACGTTATCCCAGTAAGTAAACCACAGTAACCCAGTTAGTATACCACAGAAACTCAGTTGGTATACCACAGTTATCCTGTATGTAT